CGGAAACTAACCTCCAAACTGACAGGGGATTGGACACAACTACGGATAATTACGCAATTATTCATTCTATCCAAATCCAATTCAGACTAGTTTGGATATGCATAATTTATTCCATGGTTGGCTATGCTTACGTGCGCTGTCGCATACATTGATCTCGCTTGCATCGTGGTTAGAATCAGCGCGACTACTCGTGGCTGTGTTCGTGTATATCAGTACACCAGTGCAAAACTGTAGACTCGATAGGGCTATAGTCGATTATTGAATGCATTAGTCATCAAATCCCAGATGGTCTAGTGGTCATGAGTTAGCATTTCCAACACCCTAAATTATTCATCTCTAATCTAATTCGTACAGTTTCCGCCTGTCAATTCGTCGGGCGCGGGAGACCAGGGTTCGATTCCCTGTCTGGGAGATTGGAATTCAATATTTTTCATTCCTTCTTTCCCTCTTCCTTTTCTTTTGTTCCTTTTCCTTTCCTTTCCCCCTCTGCCAGCCCTCTCGTTGTCCTTCTCTATTTCCCTGTTGAGATTCAGCACTGCAACTATTATATAATAGTGAGGGGCTTGTTACAGAAAATTGTCTAATTTACTTGATTTTGACGCTCGCACATAGGTGGGATATAAAAGGCATTGAAAACATGGAGGGAAGTCTTTATTTCACTTTGAGAAGCACAGTCGAAGATTTGTTCTGTGCTGTAAAGCCATACACACCTTACGGCGGCTGGGGGGTTCCTCAACTGGTTGTTAATACATGTTACCTAAGTTTAACTGTTATGACCATGTTGGCCTATGTTAAGACGGTGTTGACATGGACCAACAAGGTCATAACAGTAAAGTCGAAATAGCATTGTATTAATTACCATTTGAGGAACCCCACAGCCGCCTTAAGGCAGCTTGGTCAGGGATATTGCTCGTGAATCGCTTATGACGAAGAATTGGCTTCCAGTTCAATAAGTTGCAACACCTAGCTTGCTCTCGAAATAGGTATAAGACGCAATTCAAGCTAGATAGCTATGTGACCGAAGAAATGCTCAATAGAAGCTGCTACCTTAATCACATATCCGGATGACATTTCAATTTCCAAACATAAGCGATCACAGGTAAGGCGTTGGGGGAGGGCCTCTCAGAAACTCATTAATACTTTGTCCAAGTCTTTTCTCTGTTCCCGATGTGCCCAGACAGTCATACGCATTTACGACCCTCTTCTCTATACGATGGAGTGTAATCCGAAGAATCTACTATACGAGCAGACGAAGACTTCAACGGCGTTCAGACTCCTGAGAAGGCGTACTCTAAGTTCGAACGAGAGAGAGAAAAGAAAAAGGTCTGAAAACATGGCCTTTCGAAGACAAAATCCGGGTATCCTATGTATTCGTATCAAGCCGCGAACCGTTGAACGCGAGTCCTGCCATTGTTCCCAAATCACTCTATCAAACCGAAATATTGCATCGTTGATTCAACACCCCAGAGCTCATCGTAATAGGAAAGCCGACCGAACCTTTTCTAACCGCAGGCGCACCTGCCCCTGATCCAACGCCTCCATCTCCTCCGCTGCTCTCCCAGCAGCCTCTCTCGTCCCCTCCTCCAAATCTCCCCACTCGGACAGGATCCGAAATCGAGTCTTCCAAAAGGTCCAGCGCTCGCCGCAGAAACCGTGAGGGCCGGCATAGAGGGGCCCACGACTCGAGGGCGACCGCTTGATCTGATCATCGCGCTCGCTGCCAGGATAGACGATCTGATGGTCCCTGAGCTTCTTCCCGGCGTACGCGATCCAGTGAGCAGCAGCCGGGACCAAGTCATCTGCCAGCTGCGGCGTCAACTCCTCTTCCAGGGCGTCCAGCAGTGCGAACATACCCCGGAGCTCGAGATCCCGGAAGTCAGTCGCAGAATGCAGTCTGGCGAGGAAGGTGTGTAAGTTTGCCCACTCGATTCCAGTCAGGGGCACGCCACCCCAGATTTCGGCGGTTGAATTTTGAGGCTCATGGGATGTGGTGTGGGGATCTCGTGACGCTCTAAGGGAGCCTAAAGGGGCCTCTCTCTCAAAGTCTAGCCAGACGGTATAGAAAGAGGGGAGGTCAGCCCATGAGGTATGGCATGGACCTTTGCTGTCCCGCCGTGAGGCATAGTTGTTGGATGATGAAGGGATATTTCGGATTTCAGATACGAGTACGACAAGTTGATCTTGACGGTGATCGTTCGCGGGAATTTGCTTGATGAGCCAGAACACAATTTCCCAGAGATAGCCAGGCGCGGGTGGGTTTTCTTCGGTTTTCTCGTTGTTTGAATTGAAAATATCGTATAGGTATTTAGCAGCTTTGGATGGAGAGCTCGAAGGGTCGTAGAGGTAATCCGAAAGAGTCGGATAGATATTAGCGAGAGCGGGTGTTGTACCAGAAAGATTTAGTTTGCTCGACACTGCCGTCATGTTGAGATAGAGAAATGGTCTCGAAACAGAGAAGGAAGAAATCCAGATTGAGATATGGGAGGCGTACAATAGAACAGGTAAGTGTCTATACGCAAGTTCATTATATTCGCTCTGATGTTGGCGGCTTTCAATAGTATCATCGATCAGCTTTTTCGCATACTCGCAGCTCTTGAGTTTCTCAATATGCTTTCACCGGTGTGGAAGGATTTTAGAATAGTAGGATGAGGGGCTGCCACTCCCTCCAAACCGGTGTAAGGAAGGGCTTGTGCGGATTAACAAATCCGTTGCGGCAGAGAACGGTGGTATAACTAGGATACTAGCTATGAGCCTTGCTCACTGAGATGGAACCTCACCTACAGGTATGCATGCAGGAGCAGTCATCACCTTATCTACAACCCCAGCTTCAGACGCCATGCGAGGCTGATGTAAGGCCCACAAGCTTGTCGAGCCACTGCTCATCTTTGCAGCTTTACAAATGCTAGTGGTTAGGATCTAGGATTCGTTGGCTTTGCTAAAAGAGTGATATCCACAGAAGCACACGATGACGCAACAGGAGATGCTTGTATCACTTGGGGGTTCATTGTATCCATTCCCATGGCCACGATATGGATTTGTTTTCTTTCGGACATAACGACAGACCGAGGGCGACAAGTACGATGCGACCCAATCCAAGCCCAGACGTGACCTGCCACATCCATGCAGCTGGCCGAGCATCCCGAGAGTCGTTTACTTGCGGGGTTAGGATTGGCTGCAAAAGAAAGTAACTGAGGGTACTATGAGCATCCCTAACGTACCCTGCATTTCCACTCCTTCCGAGGTTTTGCTGGGGCGGGGATCCCGAGCTCCCCTCGGCCAACCCCGGCCCGCTTATGTATTGTGCCGCGCATGTAACCATTACTACCTACGGAGTACTCTACCCACCAGTACATCACTTCCACTAGGTTGGGTAGGTACGCGGTACGGTACCCGAGTATGCTATCTTATGTAAACTGGTAGCGAAGCCATCCCATCACCCCATCCCAATGTTGCCCCCGGACGTCACGAAAACTGTGCCCCCATAGCATTGGGTGATTGCATCATCGCCAAGGTGAAAACCCTCAACCTGCAGTTGCACATCTAAGATTCGATCTTGCTGTCCCTCTTATCGACCAATAGTATTACCAGGATTTTATTTCCGATCCTTTCGCCGCCTGGAATTTCTTCTCTCCTTGTGACCAAAGAGCTTTCTCCCGACGCTTTACCAAACTGAGTTAGTTTACTTCGACCCACGGGATGTAATCTTATTTCATTCCCACCTTAACTCTCACCACAACATACAACATATCTGCAATTCCCAGCATCCAGCTGATTTAATCAGTACGATACTGGGCAGGGTATACTCGTGGATTCGCTTGGTCAAGCTTATGGGCTGATTGTCTCTGACCAACCGTAGACCACTTGAAGCTACGATGCTGCATCTGAATTAAAAATAAGTCGAAACATCCTATCACCAGACGAGTGATCCAGGCTTCCGCTATTTGAGTGACCGCTTATTCACCGCTGGATCTCCTGTGAATTGCATCCATCAATGTGACGTTGATGCTGGATTATCATGTCGCTGAAATATGACGGAAAGCCTAGAAGTGCGTCCACGTGCACCATAGGGCTGAAGGATCTAAAAGCGGCTGTGGTGGTCTGGCCACCGATTCGAGTCAGGGTCGTGGACCGCGTGTCATGCCGTGGCAGCCACCATCGCCTCCCATTGAGTACGGTACCTAATGAATTTCTTCTCTTTCTCGAGCTTGTCAATTGAAACGGGAGCCGAACAAGGCGGTCGACGAATGCCGCCGAAGAGAACCTCCGAGATCCGGCTTGTATACTTTACCGTGAAAGTCTTTCTCGAAGGACTGCTGTAGCCTATACGCGATGTGCCATTATATGCGCCGCTATCGAAAATACTAGTCTCATGCGGGGGAAGACCAGGGCTAAAATTGCTTAATTCGGAATATCCGGAGCTGTATATAGGCAACTAGTTCTGGTTAGAAGTAAAGGAGTCGGAATCCGAGCCTCAGCTTTGCCCATTATGAAGGAAGCCCTTTCCAGGTTTTGTTACTTCTTCGACATTGGAGCTTTGCTTCAACTCAGTTGACTTGTAGCAAAGCAGAAGCCTCAGTCAACTCTGCGTATGATATCACATGGAAAAACAAAGATCGGTCTGAGTCGGGTATTATGGAGGGTTGCCTGCCCTACGCGCCACGGGCGTCAACGGCGACAACGAGCTCCTGTCTGAATTTTAGCGCCCTGAAGATCACACTCGTCCAAGCTCAGAGTCTCGCATCTCTTGCCGCAGAGCAAATTGATCCGCCAATACATTGCCTCAGAAAAGTTTGTTGGGATGGTCTGCGGTCTGGCGGTCTTGCCCGTGAAGTGGCGCCGCACACGGGACACACACTACAGTACCTAATCATGGTCACAAAGGTAAGCATTGGATAAGCAAAGGAAGATAAAATTCTCCGTTTCAGGATAAAGTTACCGCGCCAGGTGTGGAAGCTGAAATGACTGCCAAGGGCTGTTAAATCTCTCCATCAGTCATTCGATCATTGGCCTGCCCTACCGGAGCACAGTGTACGGCTGCAATGGCCAATTACCCACTGTACCTAAACGTAGGTTACTGCAGTGGAGCAAAGATTCTGGCTACCTTTTGTAGGCCCACTTGAATCTAGGACTACATTACCACAGATCACAGTCGGCCTCCCGTACATTGACGGCCTTCACCAACAGCACGAGATTAACCAGTTTGCGAAGACTTTAGGTGGCAAGTGGCGGTCAAAGTGAGGGACTGATAGCAAGCACAGCCCTTCAAGGGCCCAATAAAATCGAGGACGGATATCATTCAATGGCTCAAAAGCGCCGCCTGCCAAGTCCCGAGATGAAGATGTTCTTGCGCCGCAAGAGACCGCCAGCCACATCACACCACCTGACATATCAGATATCCAATCACATGACGTC